CGTGTGGTCTCATATCCTTGTAATCAATATTGTCTCTTTTGGTGCAATTAGTTGAAAGTTAGACTTTCTGCCTAAAACCGTCCGTTGAGGGCGCATCTGCTGGCGACCTGTATAACTACATTTGAATTTTGCATCTTGGCGCCAACATGCACAGATGTTGGACCTGACGTCAGCAGCCCCCCGCCCAGAGCCATGTAAACGGCCAGGGTCTCGTTTCACGCCCCCTTTTTCCTCCAGGCATACGCCATTTAGAAGAAGGTTTGAACAGGAAATGTGAGTACGTAAGCTTCCGGAGGAGGGGCGTGAGAACCACTTTAAGTGCACTGTTGGGTCATGTGACACAGTATTTGCATGGACATTTGGGACTCTTCGTAGTGTGCTCATAATTATTTTATATGTATATGTGTCTATGTAGAATGGTATGTGACATCATGACCTAAGGAATGCGCCTGTATTGTAGATATGGTTTGTTTTTATTAGGATGATTGGTTTTGTAATGTGGGAGGGGCCGGCAGGCTTCATAAGGTGTCTGCCCCTTGGCAGTCGTGCCTCGGATACAGTGAAGGTAACGTGGATGCAGGAGCGAGTGTTAAAGTAAGGGGAAAAGAGACTCTATTGCAGAAGTGGTATATTTTTATTTGTAAATTCCTTTCGCCTGATGGACTTTTCAATGTGCTCTGTAAATCCGTTTTTTGTAATTTCCACTGTTTGTTTCTATGAGAGTTTTTAATTTAAAAACTTCTGAAAACGCCTTTCGACCCAGCCATGTGTTCTGGTAAAAAGACCATACGAAACAGTTCTGAATAGCTGGCAAACATTAAACTTAATGTTTGTTATAGTGAACATGATTACAAACAAACTTCTTGGCTTGTCAAAGGAGTCAAACTAAATTACGTTTTTTCTATATTTCTCTTTTGTTTTTTTTAGTGCATCGTGATATTCCTCTCACGCTCTCTCTCTCTCTCTGTCTCTCTCTCTCTTTCTATTTCCCCCTCTGTCTTGTGTCTCTCTCTGGTCTCTGTCCCTCTTTTTCTCTCTCTCCCTCTTTCTTTCTGTCTCTCTTCTTGTCTCTCTCTCATCTTCTTGTCTCTCTCTCTGTTCTCTCTCTCTCTGTTTCTCTCTGTTTCTCTCTCTCTCTCTCTCTCGCTCTGTCTCTCTCTCTTGTCTCTCTCTCTCTTTCTATACTCTGTTTCTGTCCCATCTTTTTCTCTCTCTTCTCTTTCTCTCTCTAGTCTCTTCTCTATCTCTCTCTCTCTCTCTGTCTCTCTCTCATTCTCTCTCTTCTCTCGCTGTCTCTCTCTGTTCTCTCTGTCTCTCTCTCTCTGTCTCTCTCTCTCATTCTATTTCTCTGTTTCTGTCCTCTTTTTCTCTCTCTCTCTCTTTCTCTCTCTGTCACTTCTCCTGTCTCTCTCTTCTCTGTTTCTCCTCTGGTTTCTCTCCTGTTCTCTCTCACTCTCTCTTGTCTCTCTCTCTCTGTCTCTCACTCTCTTTCTAATTTCTCGTTTCTGTCCCTCTTTTTCTCTCTCTACTCTATCTATCTCTGTCTCTTCTCTATCTCTCTTCTCTCCTCTGTATCTCTCTCTTTTCTCTCTCTCTCTCTCTCTGTCTCTCTCTGTCTCTCTCTGTCTCTCTCTTGTCTCTCTCTCTCTCTCTCTCTCTCTTCTCTTCTCTCTGTAGGAGCAGCTGTTGGGGGTTATTGATGACCTTCATTAGAATGCTGCCGCGGCCGGTCGGGGGTGACTTTGAAGGACTTCCAAATGCAATACGGCACCAACTCCACCAGTTGCTCGGTGCAAGAAGCGCCAAACGGATCTCCAAGTAGCCCACGTGAATTGAGTTTGGTTCAGTCTGGTTCAGTCTGCAGTACCGCGAGAATCCCCTGAGCACATGAGTTATTCAGCTACAAGCTAGTAATACCCTATCCAGTTAATATAATACATCCATGCCTAGCACGTCCCGGTGAAACCTTTGGGAGCTAACTATTTTATTTGCAGTCATTAAATACATTTCGAATTATAAGGGCTGTCTAATATTTGTTCGAATATATATATATTTTTTTTATTTCAGAATTATATTCAAATGTTGAAGTCGAAGCCCTGGTGTTAAGCAGCGCTGTAGAGGCTAGAGGACGCAGGCTGGTCGCTTCTTGTTCTGTGAGCGGAGGAGAATGAGCGGCCCGCTCAGACTCTACTCAGCACTTTTCACGGCCTGAATTTCATACACAGTTGAATCAATGACCTCAAGTTTTCAATTAAATGATGTATTATGATACAACTTGTATGTAGTAAAAAGCATTTTTATGAACTACTTAGAAAAAAATCGGGTATAGCTTCTTTAATACTGCATTTATATGTTGTTCAGAACGGCCACATGATTGGTCTAAGTCGATCTTAGATAAACTACATATAAATGTAACAGAATAAATACATATTGTACCTCTCTTCTTTCCATATTTGTATTTGTAGGTCTCTAAAAAGGCACAAACTTCTTTATTCTCCAAATCATTCATTCATAGTTTATTCCAAACAGCAGTGCGGGTTTAAGGTGCAAAAGCGTCACATACACAAAATCATTTATGTACAAACAATAACATCTTTGCATAATTCGCCTGATTCAAACGCACACAGATACGTCCGATCATTTCAAAGTTGAAGCAAGAATGCAATAAGTTTACATTTCTAGTTTGTTTGTAAAAATGTGATTTAAAATTACCAGTTTGACATAAATAAGTTTTTCCCGGCTGCGAAAAAAGAACGAGAAACACAAAAACGTAGTTCAAATCACCAGATCCATAGAAGAGTCCTCTATGTCGATCGCACACAATTTTCTCTTAAAAAATTAAATACAAGTTTAAAATTAATTTCCTCACAATAGTTTGATTCCTATGCAGCAGAAGTGTCTAGTCTGTACGCGGCAACACTGGCAATCCACACAAGTTTAAAACACTTGAGACTTTATTACTTTTCTTGGAGTGACTTTCAACAAGTTTGGACTTCAGATATTTTATATTAATATTAAGATAATATTAACTTTATTCTCCATAGGGAAATGTGTCCTCTGTATTTGACCCAATGCCACAAGGGCAACTGTCGCAAGGCCTGTCAAAAGAATAAATATTTCGGAGTAAAAATAGACACAATTACATCTTTTGCTCCAGTCACCGTCCTGCTCTGTTCTTTTTTTTCTGTGGCTCTTTTAGTTTAACATGTCTGTAAAATGTTAATCATCCCAGAACGTCTGTGTTTATGGGATTCACGACATCTACCAATTAGGCATTTACTTAGGCATTAGGCTAAATTATTAGTCACAAAATAAAGCATGTTGCCAACAGGAATCTATGCCACGCCATCCATCCATTTTCCGCTTCATCCGTTGCCGGGTCGCGGGGGCAGCAGTCTAAGCAGAGACGCCCAGACTTCCCTATCCACACACACTTCCTCCAGCTCGTCCGGGGGGACCCCAAGGCGTTCCCAGGCCAGCTGAGAGACCCAGCGCAGGGGTGTCCAAACCGGTCCAGAAAGGGCCGCTGTGGCTGCAGATTTTCTATCATACCCAAGTAGACTTCACCCACTGCCTCAAATCTTCAGGTTAAGACTGAACTCTCTAGAGGAAATGGGTGGAGTCTGCTCTGCTCCTGTTGGGTATGATAGAAAACCTGCAGCCACAGCGGCCCTTTCTGGATCGGTTTGGACACCCCTGCTCCAGCGTGTCCTGGGTCTTCCCCGGGGTCTCCTTCCGGTGGGACGTGCCCGGAATGCCTCCCCAGGGAGGCGTCCAGGAGGCATCCTGAACAGATGCCCGAGCCACCTCAACTGGTTCCGCTTGACGTGGAGAAGCAGCGGCTCTACTCAGAGCTCCTCCCGTGTGACTGAGCTCCTCACCCTATCTCTAAGAGAGCAGCCACTCTGCGGAGGAAGCTCATTTCGACCGCTTGTATCCGCGATCTCGTTCTTTCGGTCATTACCCAAAGCTCATGACCATAGGTGAGGGAGGGAACGAAGATTGACCGGTAAATCGAGAGCTTTGCCTTTCGGCTCAGCGCCCTCTTTACCACAACGGTCCGATACAGCTCGGGCCGCAGACGCTGCTCCCTCTTCATCACAACGGTCCCCTACAGCGACCGCCTCACTGCGCACGCTGCACCGATCCGCCTGTCAATCTCACGCTCCATTCTTCCCTCACTCGTGAACAAGACCCCGAGATACTTGAACTCCTCCACTTGAGGAAGGACCTCTCCACCCACCTGGAGAGGGCAAGGCACCTTTTTCCGGTCGAGCACCATGGCCTCAGATTTGGAGGTGCTGATTCTCATCCCAGCCGCTTCACACTCGGCTGCAAACCGTCCCAGTGCATGCTGCAGGTCCTGGTTCGTTGGAGCCAACAGGACAACATCGTCTGCAAACAGCAGAGATGAAATCCTGTGGTCTCTGAACCGGACCCCTCCGGCCAAAGCAAAGCCACCAATGGAAAGTGACAGGAGTAAGGCACGAGTGAGTTGGGGAAATATAAAACCTTTTGAGGCTGACAGACTTTCCCATGTGGACTAAAGGACAAGTTTGACAAAAAAATAGTAGTACTGTTAAATGTGGCTTTTGACTCTTAATGAATATATTACTTAACCACAAAACAACCACGTACGACTGCAACCAGTTTTTTCTTGAGCAGAGAAATAAATCATAGTAAAGTTTAATGAACACTATATCCTGTGTATTAAGTTATTATGTTGTATATGTATATTATTTATTATGTTGTTTATTTATTTATATTATTTCTTTGCTTTTCTTTCATATCCGCAACAGAGACAACCATAATATCAAATATTTTCTTTCAATTATTTTTAATTCTTTAAATCATAATTTAGAAAAAATATAGAAATAGATTGATGCCAGCTCTTCTAAAACTCTTCAAAAACCACTCCAGTAAAAGTGCTCAGGATTCTACCGCGTCCTCATCTAACTCCCGTGGTTTGTGATGTTTGTGCAGCGCGTGTGGGTTTGTGGTCAGGACGACGACGTGACATCAGAGGTTTTCCTAATGACGCTGACCCGGGTTTCGTGGGGGGCGGGTGGGGGCGGGGCTATGCAGGTGGGGGTCCAGGGCTCGGAGTGGTAGCTGATGAGGGGGGCGGGGTCGCGGGTGCTGGTCACTCTGAAGTTGGGTTTGCTGTTGGTGACGAAGGTGGACATTCCAGGCAGAGAGCCGGGGGGCAGCCGCAGCACGGGCGACGCTCCGCTCAGCCTCCAGAGGGCGTCGTTGTACTGTAGACAAAAGAGGGGAGAGTCAACGGTAAGACTGCGAAACTTCATTTTTTGGTTTAACTAACACAATAACACAATTAAGTCAAACATTGCCAAAGTAAAAAAAAACAAGCAGACCTAGAGATTCTTTTCAATGCATTTGTTAGACTACTGTAACGGCTGCTCACTGGTCTTGCCAAAGGAGCAATAAAACATCAGCAGTACATTCAAAATGCAGCAGCTCGAGTCCTGACTAGAACCAGGAAATACGACCACATTAGTCCTGACTAGAACCAGGAAGTACGACCACATTAGTCTGGTCCTCAGGTCTCTGCACTGGCTTCCTGTGGCTCAGAGAATAGACTTTAAAACCGCTCTGCTTGTTACAAGTCTCTCCATGGCCTCTCTCCAAAGTACATCTGTGACATATGAACCCACTCTGAGGAGCACAGGGACTGGCCTCCTGCTGGGACTCTGAGGAGCACAGGGACTGGCCTCCTCCTGGGACTCTGAGGAGCACAGGGACTGGACTCCTGCTGGGACTCTGAGGAGCACAGGGACTGGCCTCCTGCTGGGACTCTGAGGAGCACAGGGACTGGAGTCAGAAGTAAACATGTGGAGGCAGGATTTCAGATTTATGCAGCTAAAATCTGAAACAGTCTTCCTGAAAATGTGAGACAGGCTTGACAGTGTTCAAATCCTGCCTGTGCAACAACTATCAGGTGCCGCCCATTCCACAGTGCACCAGCCACTCACTGATCCTCCTGCAGGTGGGGTCAAGTGTCTTGCCGAAGGACAGCAGACAGTGGGAGCAGGTGGAGAAGGTCTTGTGGCAGGCTCGAACCCACACCCTTCAGGCTCAAAGGCCAGAGCTCTGAAACTGAGCCACAAATAAAGGAATATCTTATCTTAAACTGCACCATGGCCTCTCAGTAAACATATCCTGCAAAGACTGAGGGATTTTCTTTTGCCTAACTTCATACATAAACACAGCCACAAGTCGACCAAGTCATAGAACTTCAGTATTTGTGAATGAAGAAACAATGGATTAGTGGAAGAGTCATGTTGTGACGCGCAGTTGAGTAATGACGCACAATTGTTCAGTCTAATAGCCTTCTTCACTTATCGCTCATCATCTTCTTTCTCTTGAACCGCCTACGAATTCCACCAAATTCAAACCGACAAACACATGGTACGGTCTGTAGTTTGGGCCTCTGAAGAACCTCTGCAAAGATCCAACTCCAAAAGTCGCCTACGTGTTCTTTGGTAAACATAAAACGGAGGGTATAGCCAGTGTCTGGGGGTTAAACAATAATAAAAGGTTTTCTGAGCAGAAAGTTAAGAAATTTTTTGCATATATTGTTTTATATTATGAACGCAGTGTGACAGAATCGTTAAGTTTATATACCTTGCGTTTGGATTTCATTTCCTGGTGGATTTTTGTGAAGAAAGAAAATTTAGTAACTGTTTTGACTGAACCAAAACTGGACCAAAAAGTGAGAAAGGATTGTATATCAGTCTAGAACATGTCTAGACTGATTTGCCAATGATTTCAATTACATGGGTTCAAATGTTGGAATAAATTAAGTTTGTTTTCTTGAGAAAACTAACTTTAAAAAGAGATACAACATGTTGAAGCAGATGTCAATCAAACAGATTCAGAGAAATGCATTTTTAAGCCCTCGTCCTACAGTCTGTCCCTACAGCCTGTCCTGTCCCTACAGCCTGTCCCGTCCCTACAGCCTATCCTGTCCCTACAGCCTGTCCGTCCCTACAGCGGGTCCTGTCCCTACAGCCTGTCCTGTCCCTACAGCCTGTCCCTACAGCCTGTCCCTACAGCCTGTCCCGTCCCTACAGCCTGTCCCTACAGCCTGTCCCGTCCCTACAGTCTGTCCCGTCCCTACAGTCTGTCCCGTCCCTACAGTCTGTCCTGTCCCTACAGTCTGTCCTGTCCCCACAGTCTGTCCCTACAGCCCGTCCCGTCCCTACAGTCTGTCCCGTCCCTACAGTCTGTCCTGTCCCTACAGTCTGTCCTGTCCCTACAGTCTGTCCTGTCCCTACAGTCTGTCCTGTCCCTACAGCCTGTCCCGTCCCTACAGTCTGTCCTGTCCCTACAGCCTGTCCTGTCCCTACAGTCTGTCCCGTCCCTACAGCCTGTCCCGTCCCTACAGTCTGTCCAAACAGTCTGTCCCATCTGTGGGTGCAGAGGTTTTCCCTATTGTTTGTTTTTTATTTTTTTTGAGTGGTTCCTTGCCGACGCAGGAGGGTCTATGGACAGTGCAGATCGGGGTCATTTAAAGTCATTTATGGACATTAGTCACCCTACTCCCTATGAACCAATGTCTCTTTGTAGCTGCGTTTCCATTGAATAATGTGCAAACACTTTTTTGATACATTGCAAAATTCGAAAAACCTGTATTTCGTAAAAGCGGCCGTTTCCATCAATAGACATATTCAAATAAGTATACACTATTTTCGCGCGTTTATTCACTAGTTTCTAGTACGTCAACATGGCAACAGAAGTAGACAACACTTTGATTTATGTGAGATATATTAATGTCTTGACTTCTGCTGCGGCTCTCATCATTAACCGGATTAAGCGTCAGTATCTCCTTCTAGTGTAATGGAGCGGCGATCTCCGTATACTTGAGAGAGGATGCGGATGAGAACCTTTTGGGAAGTCGTGGTACATGATTTCACAGAGGAACTATGGATCCAAAACATCAGAATGACGCGCACAACATTTGAGGAGCTGTGCGAAGCGGGGCAGCTTGTGGCTCCCGCTGCACACTGCCTAGAGAGGCAGTTCCCACAGAGAAGCGCATTGCCATTGCTATCTATAAACTGGCTACTTGCGCGGAGTATAGAGTAGTGGCTGAGACATTTGGAGTGAGCAAGACCACAGTCCATCGGTGTGTTTATGGGGTGTGTAAGGCGTTATGTAAAAAACTAATGAAGAAATACATCGCATTGCCAGATGTGAATGAGGCAAAAGACATTGCCATGTGTAATTATGCAGCGCAGGGCTTGCCACAAATCTACGGAGCAATCGATGGATCACACATTTGTGCCCCGAAGGATGGCTACAGGGATTACGTTAACAGAAAAGGGTGGCCATCCATTACCCTGCAGCAGAAGCGGCGCCAGGTTTGCAATTTTGGGTAGGCCTGCAGATTAGTAAGTAGGCCAAATTCGCTCGCAAACTACAAGGGGTAGCTGGAATTGAGATTTCAAATAATATGGTTCAAACGCACGCACGCACGCACACGCACTCAAGCACACACATACACACAAGCTCATTTATGAAACTTGCGTAGAAAAAGGTGTAAATTTTGGGTGTATATTCCATTTACGAAAAATCCAACGTCGGATTTATGAACGTGTGAGATACACCCAGATCTGAGCATACGCAGCTGAGGGTGTTGATAAATCGGCTGAATACGAACGTATTTATGAAAGTCACGCCTAGAATTATGCAGCAATCGCGTGTTTCACGCCCCGTCTTCGCGACAGGTCCGCAGGAAGCCGGCCTAAAAGACTGTTCGGAAGCCTCAAAAGGCACGTTTGTTTGTTCATGTTTATGTAAAAATAAATATACGCTATATATTCATCTGCGTTTTGAACAGATTTGCAAAAATGTTTTGATACATTAGAAAAATCTCTCTTGAATTGTAGAAGTGAATAAATATAGATTGAATGAATGAATGAATGAATTCATATTTATTATGCAGCGGTGGCTCTGAATGAAGCGTCTGCAGCGTCTTGGACGCAGCCTGGCTCGGGGTAGAAGTGCGCATTGAAGCGCTGTACACTTCAGAGAGCGTTAGCGGTCCAGATTTCACAAAGAAATTGTGGAGCCAAAACTTCTGCACATTTGAGGAGTTATGTGGCCGACCTCTCATGGCACCTGCTCTGCATGCACTGCCAAGAGTGTGCAGCGGGTGGACAGGGCAGTGAGACATTTGGAGGGAGCAATACCATAGTCCATCGATGCATTATTGGGGTGTGTGTCTCTGTGAGGCTTACACAAATCTAATGAAAACATACATTGCTTTACCAGATGTGAGGAATACAAATAGCCGTGCGTAATTACGCAGCGCAGAGCCTGCCACAGCAATAGCTGGTCACACATCCCTGTCGCGTCAAGTGTATTTGTATAGAGCCTTTCACTGTCCAGGATCACAAAGCGCTTCACATTTAAAAAAAACATACAGATCAAAATAATACACACAGAAGTCAGATTTAAAATCATAGAAACAGAAGAAATGATGCAGCAGCTTCATGAAAAAGGCTGCTCTGTTGTGAATGTTTTGAGAGCGTTGTCAATCTTTAATACGAGGAATAGCTGGTTGTTTTCGGGAACGAGCTTCGTGCTGTTTGATATGATCATACAGATTATTGGACAAAATTGTTCAGCCAATAAACAGGACTATATTTGAAGCAATGTAGGAACGTGATGACGCTCAGGGGGTTATATTTTCTAAAAACATTAGAACACAACATTTAGGCCATAATGTGTGTATAAAAACAACAAGCGTAAAATTTGCCACGGCTTTTTGTACCCTGCCTCGTTCATTTCTCTTTCCAGGTCTTTATAAATCGTTGCGTTCCTTTGCTGCTTTGTGTCCAATGTTTGTAATCCCACTTTCCCGAATTAAATACAAAAAGTAATTAGTTTCCTCGTGTGTCCAAACGTAGCGAGTCATGTTTCCTTGAGATGCTGCTACCTGCTACTTCCTGTTTTCTTCTTCTGTGTTTTGGGTTTAACAACAGCCGGCTTCCTCCGCTATATCGAAATAAGTGTTTCCATTGCCGTTTTGCAAAAAACTTAATTTCGATACGTCCAAAAAACCTCCGATTTTAAGCGCATTAACTTTTTATCAAAAAACTAATACATTCGAAATGTGCGCGTTTCCATTAGACATTTTAAGATGCGCAAATTCAAATTTCGAAATTTGATGCTCAATGGAAACTCAACTAGTGTTTTTTATCATTGTATAACTTTGAAATAAGCTCTGAGACGACTGCCGTTACGATTTAGGGCTGTGCAGAAATAAATTCAATTGGATCATTGATCATCATTCACGGAAGTTATTTATTTATTTATTTATTTTAGTAAGTAAGTAAGTATTTATATACTGCCTTTTCACTGCAGATCAGAGTCTCAAAGCGGTTTACAATTGTTATTTTATGCCAGACCTTTTATGCATGTTTTTAGTGGTAGGGGAAACCGGAGTACCCAGGGGAAACCGGAGTACCCGGAGGAAACCTACGCAGACACGGGGAGAACATGCAAACTCCACTCAGACAGGCCCAACCGGGATTCGAACCCAGGACCTTCTTGCTGAGAGGCGACAGTGCTATCCACTCAGCCACCGTGCCGGAAGTAATGTTGGGGTTTCGTTATAAACAACAAAATGCTTTCTAGGAACTGATGCCACTCAGACGCAGTGACGTTTGACCTCATGACGACGGTTTAAACCCAACAGACTCAAAAGACAAATATTTGGAATGAGCCGCAACGCGCTAGTGTAAATATAACGCTGTCCTCCTTTGCTACATACATACAGTGCCTTGCGAAAGTATTCTGCCCCCTTGAACCTTTCAACATTTCGCCACATTTCAGGCTTCAAACATAAAGATATGAAAAATTAATTTTTTGTCATGAATCAACAACAAGTGGGACACAATCGTGAAGTGGAACAAAATGTATTGGATAATTTAAACTTTTTTAACAAATAAAAAACTGAAAAGTGGGACGTGCAATATTATTCGGCCCCTTGCGCTAATACTTTGTAGCGCCACCTTTTGCTGCAATTACAGCTGCAAGTCACTTGGGGTATGTCTCTATCAGTTTTGCACATCGGGAGACTGGAATTCTTGCCCGTTCTTCCTTGCAAAACAGCTCGAGCTCAGTGAGGTTGGATGGAGAGCGTTTGTGAACAGCAGTCTTCAGCTCTTTCCACAGATTCTCGATTGGATTCATGTCTGGACTTTGAGTTGGCCATTCTAACACCTGGATACGTCTATTTGTGAACCATTCCATTGTAGATTTGGCTTTATGTTTTGGATCATTGTCCTGCTGGAAGATAAATCTCCGTCCCAGTCTCAGGTCTTTTGTAGACGCCAACAGGTTTTCTTCCAGAATGGTCCTGTATTTGGCTCCATCCATCTTCCCATCAATTTTAGCCATCTTCCCTGTCCCTGCTGAAGAAAAGCAGGCCCAAAGCATGATGCTGCCACCACCATGTTTGACAGTGGGGATGGTGTGTTCAGGGTGATGAACTGTGTTGCTTTTACGCCAAACATATCGTTTTGCATTGTGGCCAAAAAGTTCGATTTTGGTTTCATCTGACCAGAGCACCTTCTTCCACATTTTTGGTGTGTCTCCTAGGTGGCTTGTGGCAAACTTTAAACGAGACTTTTTATGGATATCTTTGAGAAATGGCTTTCTTCTTGCCACTCTTCCATAAAGGCCAGATTTGTGCAGTGCACGACTGATTGTTGTCCTATGGACAGACTCTCCCACCTCAGCTGTAGTTATCTGCAGTTCATCCAGTGATCATGGGCCTCTTGGCTGCATCTCTGATCAGTCTTCTCCTTGTTTGAGATGAAAGTTTGGAGGGACGGCTGGGTCTTGGTAGATTTGCAGTGGTCTGATACTCCTTCCATTTCAATATAATTGCTTGCACAGTGCTCCTTGAGATGTTTAAAGCTTGGGAAATCTTTTTGTATCCAAATCCGGCTTTAAACTTCTCCACAACAGTATCTCGGACCTGCCTGGTGTGTTCCTTTGTCTTCATGGTTCTCTCTGTGCTTTAAACAGAACCCTGAGACTATCAAAGAGCAGGTGCATTTATACAGAGACTTGATTACACACAGGTGCATTCTATTTATCATCATCAGTCATTTAGGACAACATTGGATCATTCAAAGATCCTCACTGAACTTCTGGACTGAGTTTGCTGCACTGAAAGTAAAGGGGCCGAATAATATTGCACGCCCCACTTTTCAGTTTTTTATTTGTTAAAAAAGTTTAAATTATCCAATAAATTTCGTTCCACTTCAAGATTGTGTCCCACTTGTTGATTCATGAGAAAAAAATAAAATTTTATATCTTTATGTTTGAAGCCTGAAATGTGGCGAAATATTGAAAGGTTCAAGGGGGCCGAATACTTTCACAAGGCACTGTATATATATATATATATATATATATATATATATACACACTTATACACACACATACAGGCCTTTGTGGATTCATCCTCCTCTTTCGACTACCAATAGCTTCTTTCAATCTTTGCTTTTCTGTTGTTCCTTAAATCTGTCTCCTCGGTGTGATTATTACTGCACACAGCAGAAGAACGGGGCTGACTTTGGGCTGACTCATAGCTGTCCTAGCTCGTCTTTCCTCTACTTGAACCATGTTTTTGGTTTTTTCCTTCTCCAAATGACAGTGAAATGTTGTAGTTAATGTTTGACCTGATTTCCCGCTACAGCCCTCCCCCTTTTTTGCTGCACAACAGGAAGCAACAAAAACAGCCTTAAAAAAAAAAAAAAAAAAAAAAATCCAAGAATCCGTTCCCCCTTTTGTGTCAGAAGTATCAAAACAAGCTGAAACATGTCGAGAATAACACGGACAACAGGAATAATCCAGACGAATGGGGCTTACTCTATGAGTCTCCTCCGTGTCGCTCTCTGTGTCGCTGC